GACCAATTCACAGCATGGAAGAACGCTTTGAAGATTGACTGTAAAATAAATCCTCACATGAAAGTGTGTTCATTGCATTTTCTGAAAGACGACTATATATTACCAGGTGAGTCAAATTCGTTTTTTGAGGTTAAGCATGTGTGAAGTAGCATTTTACAAGATCTCATTATTATTCCACTAAGAAAAGAATGGGACGGCAACAACATTAAAATGAAAGAGTTTCCTTGGTTTAGTTACCACAATTCAATAAATGTTTGTGTATACCACAATTCAATAAATGTTTCGCAGCTACCAGTCGTTCACCCTCTCGAAAATTGCGATTACTGGGCGTTGAACCGGACCATTCACAAATATCATTAATTGTTAAGACTATCATTATCTACCACTAATATTGATATTTAACTATTTTACGGTATTTCATCACGGTTTGACTAGGCAAATGCACCCCCGTCGGCGCCATATTGAATAGGCCACGCCTCCATGTCAGATCCCAATAGGCTTAGAACAGTAACGCGCTAAGTTACAACAATGCATGCGTTTTAAAATCCATGTTGAAAATTATATAGGAAAAGAAAAGTTAGTAGTAAAAAGTATCTTCAAAATACTAAGATACTGTAAAAAAAAATTAAATAAAAGATACAAAATATTTTTTTAAAAGTTGTTGAAATATAAGATACATATACGTATTTTCTATCTTAGATAATTCACATCTCTGCATATCACACCTGCGTAGGTAAGGGTATTTATTTTAAGAGAGGTAGGGCACAGCTGAGTTCCGCTCGAAGAGGGCTTCCCCAGACGTTCGTCTGGGGAAGCAATCTCCACCTTACAGAAGACCACAGTAAAATAACACTACCTTTTGGTGGTGTTGTGTTTCTGTTGGTGAGTAAGGTTTCAGGGCATTGCGGGGTAGAGGATTACGTTCAGGCCGGCAAGGTGAGGATGGCTAGAGCGAAAACACTTTCTACCACGCCAGCGGGTGCTAAGAGTTTGCTAGAGACGTGTGTGCCTCGGTGTAATAACCTGTTTACGTTTAAACATGTTGATTTTATGGATACTATAAAATGCTTTAACTCACTTAAAACGAAAAATACGTGTGATTTGTTTGGAATGTCTATTAAAATTACTAAAAGTATAATAACAGTTATCGCTCCTTATCTTGCAGATATATTCAATAAGTGTATTGATCAAGGTGATTTTCCAGACCTTATGAAATATAGTAAAGTTATCCCTCTCTTCAAAAACGGCATAAGAGATGATCCCGGTAATTACAGACCTATATCAATATTACCGGTATTAAGTAAAATTTTCGAAAAAATTATTTTAGATCAATTATTATCGCATGTCAGTTTGAACAAACTGTTACGTAATAATCAATTTGGCTTTACTAGGGGTAGATCAACAACGGATGCGGGTGTTGCACTTATTAGACATATAATGGAAGCCTGGGAGAAGTCGCAGAATGTTCTTAGGGTATTCTGTGACTTATCCAAGGCGTTTGACTGCGTTGAGCACCAGACGCTGGTGTTAAAATTAAATCACTATGGAATCAAAGGCGCCGCCCAAAACTTGCTACTATCGTATCTCAGTTCCAGAGTTCAAACTGTAGAGGTAAATGGTGTTAAGTCATCTGGATCTTATGTGAACTTACTGATGTAGCTACTGCTAGAACTGTATACTTTAGTTACTTTCATAGTATTGTATCCTATGGTATTATTCTCTGGGGATCAGCAGCCGATTTGAAACTATATTTATCTTGCAAAAAAGAGCTATAAGGGCTATTTATCTACTTAGTTCTATAACATCTCTTAGAGAAAAATTTAAAGAAATCGGGATTTTGACTGTTGCTTCTCAATTCATTTATAATTGCATACTTTTTGTTCGAAGCAATATTAACTATTATCTAAAACACAGTGACATACATTCTTTTAATACAAGGAATAAAAATAAACTCAAGATACCAAATTACAGGTTACAGAACGTTCATAAATCATTTATGGGTCAAGGTATACATTTCTATAATAAGATTCCTATTGATATCCTTGATTTGCCTCCTCATAAATTTAAAATACACATTAAGAATTGTTTACCTAAGAAAGGATATTATACTGTCAATCAATATTTGAATGATTAAACGGCCTGGTTGTAATTTTACCTGTAGATAATTTTTCAAAAGTTATATTAAAACTAAGGCTCCCAGCCTTAGAAAGAGTTTTGAAGAGAACCTTGCACTTACTCCCTTTCATATACTTGTTCATTTTGTTTTGAAAATTGTTTCTTGCTATTTTGGGACTTATCTTTGCACTTATTGTTAGTAAATTCATTGATTGTTACATATTTGACATTATGTGATGGAAGTTGACCTCAACACATGTTTGCAAGTTTGATGTCAACTTTCAATTGGACGACACTGTATGAAATAAAACAGGGAGAAAAAAGCAGCCCTTGCTGAGTTTCTTGCCGGTTCTTCTCAGTACAAGGTCTCCCGCCGTAGTTTTGCGAACCGATGGCGTAGCTTTTCGACATTCACAAGTGCTTGTAACAGCCTAGACTGAATAAACGATATTGAATTTTGATTTTTTTTTTAATTTTACCGCATCATCTTTTGCGCGATGTGACCCCCAAGTCTCCACTTACACTTTATTGGCGCGATTGGACTCCACTTACACTTAACATCAGGTGGGGTGGGGTAATACGTTGCGCCTCGTATAAAAAAACCTACCTGTTATTTATTAACAATAAAAATTTATGGTAATGGCTATGCGTTATGGAAAATAAAAGCCAGAAGCATGGTTTACTTTCCATAGACAATAGAAAATTTGAGAACCCACTTGAGTTTAAAAGTTCTTATGGCTAGTGCTACTTACATTTTAATTAAATGTTTTTTTAAGCAATCCCATTAAGGTGTAAATTACTTATTTACACATTTCATTTTAATAAGTTAATCCCCGGTCAACGGTACGTTCGGTTGTTGACCTACGTCACTGCAGCTGATACGTGTTAATTCGTGAATAATACAAGGGTGAAACGCGGGCGCGGGGCGCGGGGCACAGCGTCTGTGCGCGTGTGCATGCGTTTCTCGATGCAAAGACAAAAGCCATAATAATGGCAGAAATACTAAAAAAAAATGTGGGGTTTTTGGCGGAATTTCATCGAGTGTGGTTGGCGTCTTATTTTAATTATTCTTAAATTCGTTCATAGTGGATATTGTGAAATAAAATTGGTGTGATTTTGTGTTACAACTGTCTGCGTAACTGAAGAATTAGTAGAATCGTCAAAATATACGCTTTTCCGGTCAAGTGGACGTGAGAATTTTATTGTAGTATTGACTACCTCACAGAAGCTTATCGAAAAAGCCAGCTCGATACATTTCGTGCCAAACACTTCAAGAAACATTAGAATGCGTCACACCGACATTCTAATGTAAAAAGAAAAACAGAATAATTTAACTTAAGACTAGGCTGTATGGGCATTGTTCCCCTTGCCTTCCCTGAAAAGGGAGAACTTAACCAAAAAAAAATGTTCTTGAGGAAAAAAGTTTGTTTCTAAATAACGTTTTGAAAACATTAATGTAAAATTATGACTTTAACCTTCAATACCTCCATAACCATAAATTTCCCAGGTATGGTCAGAAGAAAAATATGATCGTCGTGATGTGGAAAATACGTAGACTCCGACTTCGTTAACGGATTTTTTACACCCTGTATATTCATTATATATATATATATATATATATATATATATATATATACAGTGGAATCCGTTTATAATGACATCGTAGGGAATTGACAAACATGTCGTATTAAGCGTACGGTACTTATGTATTTTGGTATAGAAACATAGAACATATATTAAATCAAAATAAAAAGAGGCGTGGAGATGACATTTTTTTCACAGGATATCACTTAAAACAATGCGTGACCTTCATGTGTCAATTACTTACCGATATTCAAATCAAAAACGAGCACGTGCCGAACGTCGTCAGGAATCAACGAACATTAGAGGAGAACGAGGGGATTTGAAAAAAAATGATTTAAAACAGTACCGATTCTCAGAACTTAAAACCGTTTGAGAGTTGGTTGGTACCGTCACTTTTCAATCACTTTCCTCCGCGGGCTGACGTGTCAATTCGCGTCGGTGGCGTATATCGCGCGGTTGCGGAGTTCTACGTGTCATGAGACAAAAATCGTGAAAAATAAGTTTTTAACGTTATTTTACGATGTATTTTGATAAGGGTTTTGTATTTTGGTTGAAGTTATATAATTATGTTTCGAAAGCTCATTAACTAAATGTTTATTATATATGTTTGGTACATTGTTTTAAACTTTCATGGTCACTAACATTATAGCTATTAACGGGATTGTTACCATGTACCATATCGGAGACTCATAAAAAACAAGGTACATGGTAACAATCCCGTTAATAGCTATAATGTTTGGTACAATTGATTTCATTGTTCGAGTGCGAGTTTTGTTCTTGATTGTGGATTAAATAAAAATTGGGAGGTGTTTTCTTACTGAGGTGATTTGAAACAGGCTGTTTCAACTCTCCTCTTTTCCAATTTTATATCAGATAGCAGTCAATAAATAACGGGCACTAAAAAATATGACCTATCGATTGGTAGTAATATCATTCGATTTCTGTTTATAGGATTTGGTGTATGAAACAAAACGTGAAAATTGTTTCAACTCCCCTCGGTCTCACCTACCGAAGGTGTAAATAATCATGTCGGTCATTATAACCGGACATAATTGATTAAAAAATGGGTCATAATAAGCGACATGTCTCTGTAAGGGAAGTCATTATATCCGACTTTTTACCAATAATTTTATATGAAAACCAAACTTCTTAGTGTAATTAAATATATATGCATATATAAATATAGTCGTGTGACGCTCGTGAAGCATATCCGTTTCATCTTTTCCATAGGATTTTTCCATTTACACCCTGTCCGAAAAGAAGTATCACATCATAAAGCCATAAAATCAAACAGAACATACATTTGAGCAGCCGTTTGTTCTTGCAAGCGTCGAGCTTTTGCCTCCTGTCGTTTGGTGCGGACTTCTTCCCTAGCAGTCTGTAGCTCAGCCAATTGAGCCTCCAGTTCCGTAACCTCCGTGTTTAATACGTCCAACTCGCCCTCCTTACTGTCAGAGTCCAAATCACCAGACTCACAGTCTCTGTGACCAAGAAAATTAACATGAAAATTAAAAAAATACTCAGAATATCAATAAAAACTTGTTTACATATTGTTTTAAACTGTCATAGTCACTAACGCTATATAGTAATTTATGTTATAAATGGGATTGCTACCTGTACCTTATTTTTTACGAGACTGTACATCCCCAAACCTACGAATTTGACAATCTTTTTAACTTAGGTGAACACTCCTTTTATTAACCTCAAAAAAATCGCACCTCTTACAAAATCACTTTTAAATGTCATTATCTTTTAATATGCACATGTAGTCACATTAATAATTTATATTTTTTATTCAAAAGGTTACTTAATTGACTTAATAAAAAACATTACTTTTCATTATCAAATAAAACCTAGTGCAACAAATAAAGTGTCACAAAAATTCGATGCAAATTTTGCTACCGTGAGAGTCGCTAGTTGCGCTGCCTTGTGTAGGTATAAAACGATCCACACGGGGTCAATCGTGTGATCAAGAGAGAACTGAACCGGACGACGGCAGAAGTTCCGGCCTCAATGGAGAGGTGAGGCCTGGGAGGCCACAATAGAGAGGACCTCAGACTCCCAGATCCAACTCTACAAACTACTGAGGGGCACCACCTACCCCCTACTCGATGCCCAGGACAAAAAAGATACGCCGCCCTGGACCGGGCCAACATTTTAGCGGAACATCTCGAAACGCAGTTCGCACCACACCCGGCCGCCTCAGCGTTTTTCGTTTGCCGGCATCCTTCACCTGTTTTCGTTTTAATTTGGGCCTGAGGTATGGGCAGAAAAGGTTCCGGACCATACACTTTTGTGTCTGCTCCTCTCTTAGCCAGTTCGTCTGCTGCATCGTTTCCGATTGAGTTGCTGTGTCCTTTTATCCATTGCAGAGTTACTGTGTTGGATTGAAGTGCATTGTGGCACTCCATTACCAGGACAGAGTTTATTGTGTTGCTACGTAGGGCTTGAAGCACGGATGCACTGTCAGAGATGATCTTAATGTTGAACTCTCTGACGTCTCTGGCTGCAACCGCCTGTGCCGCCAACCCGAACCCACTCCAAGAGGAAGAATCCCGAACAATGTGGGTCATTCGCTACTCAACCGTTGAAGAGGACACACGCATAGATTTTACTGAAGAAAAATCACACGTTTTGCGGAAGCCTGCATCCAGGAGACGGTGGAATATGGGGGCGGATCCTGCATGTTCTGGAGCGGTATGTCGGCTGCCGGCAAAACCGACCTTGTCTGCGTCTCCCGGACTGAAAGTGCTCGCGGACAAGGGTCGCTAACTGCTCGCCGCTGTCACAGAGATCCTGGAAGTGCATGTAGTCCCCTTTGCCGAATCTTTTGGCGAGGGGTTCACATTAATGCACGACAACGCCCGCGCTCACACTGCAGCTATAGTGAGTGACTTCCTACAGAGGTCCCAAATCTCTGTGATGTAGTCGCCAGCAAGAAGTCCGGACCCGAATCCGATAAAGCACCTCTGGGATCATCTTAAACGCAAGGTTCGATCTCGGGATCCAGCTCTTTCCGACTCTACAGGAACTCCAAGACGCGGTTATTCAAGAACCACGAAGCTGTCATCAGAGCTAGGGGGCAACACTAGATTTTAAGTTAATTTTAAGATACTTTTTTGTACATTTTTCATTGTAAATTATCTGTTGTTGATTAGGACTTAAAAGAAGTATTTTTATTATTTTTTTAATTTTAATGTCATTTGTATAACTTTAATTAAATAAAAAGTTAAATTTAATGGTTTTTTGATTCTCCTTTTTGTTACCTTTGTAATGATAAACAACACTATTCTCTAAATATGGCTTAAGAATTTTTGAAGAAGATTTTTAAATGGTGCGATTTTTTTGACACCAAGTGTACATACCAAAAATAATATATGCTTGTAATTGTTTGTCTCAATGAAGACGACCAACTAAGATACTTTTTATTGTGTTAGAATTTCAAAATGAAAATAGTAAATTGTTTATTTTATATACACATTGTGCTTTCACAACATACTTTAAAAAAAATAGCAGACTCTATACAAAAAACAACCAAGCCAAATCACTGGAGTCTGGCGAAGTCCACAGACGCGAACAGGGTTTTGCAAAAAGATGAAGATTTTTTTAAGGGTCCCTGATATTTCGGCACTGTTGCGAGCGTCATGATAACGTAATAACTGAAGGTAAATAGAAGCAATCCCGTTAACAACATAAATTAAGATAAAAACTTGTTGGTTGTGAATAAGTACTCACTTCAGACTCTCAGACAATTTCATAATCTCATGCAAAAGATTGTTAGAATTGTCCAAAGTAGGCTTTATTGTCTGCAGGTTTTTCAAGCTAATTTCTTTCTCCATCAGTATGGCACGGAGGGAATTCAATTTTTCCTCCGCTTCTTGGACATTTTGAGTTGCCTTCTCTGCCTGAGCCTTAATATCGTCGGCATCATAGACTCTCAAAGCTCGTTTCCGTTGCACTTCTGCAAGCAGAGCTTCCTTGAGGCCTTTCTTTTGTTCTACAACAACTTCCAATTGATGGTTCTCCTTCAAGATTGAATCTAATTCTAGTTTCTCTGCATCAAGGGCCTCTTTCTCTTGTGCCAACTCTTCATTAAATTGTTTGGTTTCTTCTGCCAACTAAAAAAAAATATGATAATTAATTGAAATCAATATGAATGGTTAAATCCAGAAGTTTAATTTATGAGGCCAAGTATAAATTTCAAATTACCTTTTCTAATCTCTCTGCCCTTTTGCCTTTTTCCTCTGCTTGTTCATTTAACATCTCCAATAGTCTGTTTTTGTAGTCTTCCAGTGATTTAACCTAAGTTGCATTAAAAACTTTTAATTAGTATAGTCACATTATGTTTGATGAAGTGTAATATTTAAGGTATATTATGACAAAGACACTAACCTCGTCAGTTTTTCCAAACAATTCCTCTTCATTAGGTGCAATATCCCTGAGTCGTTCTTCATTGAATAAGGACAAGTTGAACAACAATAACAGTATAGAGTGTGAAGTAGAGATAGTTGGCTGCAGGAAGTGAGTAACACTGAGGTTGGCATCAACAATATGGTTGATCACTCGTTTCATGTTTATAGCGGGAAGAAGATCCCGATAGTAGATTATATGTTCATTGAGGTTTCCTTCTGATGGAGGCTGAAAATTCATTGGTCACATTTGTGATTCCCCTTTCCCAAGTCTGACATCACATATTAAGCAGCTATGGTGCCGTTAAGTATTATGTAAGCAGATTTATTACAATAATTTACCCCCTCCTGCCCCTTGTCAGCAAAAGTAAGCAAAGCTCTTACTCCACCTCCCGTACTGACGTAAACATTGGTACCTATATGCATTTTTCCTTTAATGTATTCCTTTTTTTTATTGAATTTTGAGCTTTCATGAGCTTCATGAGCAGCAGTACTTAAATAGGCTTAAGATAGAGGACTTTTTAACTTTACTTTTAGCAAGGTACAAATATTATAATCTTGTACTATTACGAACAAAACAAACTTCTTTCGATTTTTGGTAGCACATTAATTCCAATTAACAGTCCTAAGTCCATGACAACCGAATCCATGATGCTGACGTAATCACTTTTTCGACCCCCCACCCCCCCATGACATCAAAAATAATATAGCCTTGCCCCCCTATAGTGCTTATGTAATACTTGAACGGCCCCTATTTTGCATTTAGAAATTATTAAATTAAAGCAGCAGTTCCTATTTATGTTCCAAAATTAAGAGAACAAAGCAAATTAAAACCCATACAGATGGAGATCTAAATATTTTAAAGTTATTGATAATAGTTTAAAAGTAGGTATTAGATTTTGATATGTGAAGGAAAGTGTGAAACTCGGACCCAATAAAATATACATACAATCCCCAAACTTGTCTTATTATTTTGCCAAATATGCTTAATCAATACAATGCTCTTTTCCCGGTCATACAGTAGTTAGGAGTTCTACAAAGGTTGCTTAAAAGTACGTTTTGACCCTATAAAACGTTTAGCAGTACTAAAATGTTTATTAAAGTCATTGGATAATCGTGTGAGTGGCGCATTTCGAGCATAATTAGTGGAGTGAGAGGGAGTGTGGAAAAGAGAAGTGTGCCTGGTACTACGCGATGGCACTCGAAGTGCCTTTTGTGTACTTTTTTGTTAATTGTCAATAGTTAAGTCTCCAAATACTTTGAATAAACTTGGTCAGAAATTGAATGTGTCAAACTCACAGACAACACTGCATCTACATCAATGCCTAGTCGGTGGAACACCTGAAGCACGGCTCCCATCACAGCGTGAGGTTTCTTCAGGTCAGCAAGTGTAAGTGGATAATCAGGGTAATTGGCATTCCAGTGTCCAATCAATTTTTCAACAGTGACTTTCTCGTAACCTGCAAAACAGAAATAAGACGATAATATTTAAAGAAGCTTTTTAAATAACAATGTTCATAAACTTTCATACTGTTAATTTACAGCTACGCTTACCACTTTCCATTCTGGATCAGACTCTGATTTACAATTTGTAAACAATACCAGTTCTATTACAATTTCAAATTGAACTGAAATAAACAAACGGTTTTTTATTTGTTTTTTTTTATATTTAAGATTCTCCCTTTTCAGGGATGGCAAAAAGAACAATGCCCATACAGTCTTAACTTATTTTAATCTTCTTTTTTTTACATTATAATGTTGGTGTGACTCATTCTAATGTTACTTGGAGTATTAGGCACGAAATGTATCGAGTTGGCTGTTCCGATAAGCTTCTGTGAGGTAGTCAACACTACAATAAAGTTCTCACGTCCACTTGACCGGAATAGCGTGTATTTTAAAGATTCGGTTGTAACACAAAATCACACCAAATTTGTTTCACAATATCCACTATGAATGAATTTAAGAATTATCAAAATAAAACGCCAACCGCACTCGATGAAATTTTTTTATTTATTCATGACCATGGTTTTTTTTTATTCTGGCCGTGGATACTTTGTCCTTTAGCCGAAATCATTTATACATATAACATGAATATGACAAAACAGAAATAGGAGAGCAAAATTAGCAAGTAAATACATGCATTAAATATCTTTTAAATATATAAACCAAAAGAAATGTAAACAAAACGCAACTCAACTTTCAATAACAATTAAAAAATAACATCTAACCTACAACTTACTACTAACTTGTTTATGAAATTCCAATCAGTAAAACTATTTACAAATTATTTACAGTATTACTCACAAACTGGAAAACTGGTAGGAAAAAACTTGGTTCCGATAGAATGTCTATAATGCGTCTATAATTTTGATAATTTAGTCTTAGATTTCCACTAATCTGATTCGATACTGTAGCGGATATTGCGAAATAGAGTGCTGGTGTCTTTTGCATATGCATCAATAGGAATGTAAAAAAGAGACAACACTATTCTTGTAATTTCTACACTAATTTACAATGTATCTACGTATGTATGTTTCCGGTCATTTCCTTAAGGTTCCTTATTCAGTGGCTACTAGTGACAGTATGGGTACGGCCACAGTGCACGCAGATTTAGAATCAGATTCATACTCAGAAAACAAGCGCCTGCTGCCACTATGGCCACCCTGCTTAAACTACACTGTTTATTTCTCGCGCTTATTTTCTGAGTCTGAATCGAATCTGCGTGCACTGTGGCCGTACCCTAAGCAGGTAGCCTGCTGCCACTATGGCCACCCTGCTATGGATCAAATGTATATCCGGCTTTATGCGTTATTCTGTGCTGGGCTCCGTTCTAAACCTAAGATGTGAGTGCAACTTTTTACCCTGATCTTTCAATTTTGACATAAAATGTATGAAAATTATCTCAAATTTGACATTTGTTGCCCTTGGAGCCTTTGGAACGCAACCAACCCCAAGCTGACAGCTGGAGACAGTGTTGCCAACTCTACGTCTTTTTACGTAGATCTACGTATTTTAGGCCTTTTCCGGAAACCTACTAACTTCAGTCCCAGAATCTACGTATTTTCTTATATTTTTTCAAATTTGTAAAATAACTTAATTCACTAGAATAAAGAAGAATATTTTCCGTTACTTTACTTAAAAACTATACAAATGTTTATTTTTTATAAAGATGTATCTTACACTCTCGTATCTTGTAGAAAAGGTTCCCGTTATTGGTTTTGTTGACTAAATTAATGCTGGACGCAGGATTTGTGAAAGCAGAAACGACAAAACTCTTTGACTTAGTAGGTACATTCATAACATTGAAAATTGTATTTTTAAACTTTTAATATTATCAATGAGTACCTACTCACATCGAATTGATCTTTGCAAAAAGAAATGACTTTCAGTCGATAAAGTTACAGGATTTAGCTAGTTTTAAACATATGTTCATGTGTAAGTATGTTTGTTTTTCTTGGCAATTTAAACCACAATTTTTCTAGTCTTTTACCAAGTGTATCATGATAACTACTATATTTTTCATGTGATCTATTAGAAGTCATGGTTTTATAATATTAACTTAGAAAGTTTATTTCCTACATGCTTGCGAGTGTTTGTTTTCAAATGTTTTAATGTCATAGCATAGATAAGTCTATAGACTAAATAGCGTTTTTGTATAATACATTTATTTTTCGATCTTTTAGAACGATTATATTAATTATTATGTTTTAACAATTTAAAACATAATTCCAAAAAGTGTCAACTAGCCCATTTAACAACAGTTTATCCTTGTCATTCTCTATACAGAATGAAAAGGAGAGACTGATGTTAAATTTAGTTTTAAATTAAGAGAACCATCCAGAATCGACAGCCACCAGTGTCTGTGTCTGATGGTAAATGTCTACCACAGCATGGTAAATGCTTCCAATGCAGCGACTTCTCCAAGAACTCTTTGTTCTATCTCCCGTTCTTAAACAAATTGTATAACAAAATACTCATTTTATTCGGTTTCACCTAACTTCTTCATTTCATTCAGAAAAAAGTACGTAGATCTACGTACTTTTCATATCCAAAATTTACTAATTCTACGTAATTTTCTAATCGGGCCTACGCCTTTTTCAAAATCCGAGTTGGCAACACTGGCTGGAGACTTGATGTTGATTGACGTTCTTGTACATTACATTCGTCAACAATTTTCATAATACTTACCTGTGACGACTACTACTCTTTATAGTATTGTATCGGGCTCAAATTAATTAGGAATATAATTATTCAACCAAAATGAGGATCACGAACGTAAGACGCGGCAGGATCTATCGAATGGGAGCAGCCTGTGGCGTTCTTATACTTTTGATCTATGCTTTACATAAATGGTCTAGTGAAAATGTTCTGAACTATTCGAATGATGCATTACTTCCTGAATCAGAAGTTGGCTACTATAAATTCCATCGTGAAGTTTATCCAACATTAAAAACAGGTGAGAATTCAAATCCATATCGCTCTTTGAGAAACGAGATTATGTACAGTTATTTGACCTATTCAGCATACCGGCGCGGTGTGTGCCTTCTCAGCCATTGAGTTTACACGTCATTTAGTGGTATATGGATCCAGCTATGAACGAATACAAAAAATATTTTATTGAAAGTATAATAAAGTAAGCTTAAAGTGATCAAAACATTTTTTTTATGTTAACTAAGCTATATAACTAAATAATAAATAATAATAATAAATAAATATTTCCGACACTCACACCAATTAGCCTAGCCCCAAAGTAAGCACTATAAGGCTTGTGTTATGGGATGCTAGGGTAACGGATAGAATACACATACTGTACATATATAAGTATATTTATATAAATACATATTAAACATCCATGACTGGAGTACAAATGCTCGTATTCATCACACAAACATCTGCCCCCACCGGGATTCGAACCCGGGACCTCTCGAGTCGGCGACACCATGAAACCCGGCGTACAAACCACTCGGCCACGGAGGTCGTCAAACAAATTTCAATAACTATTTGTTTTTAACTATAATCTATATATATATATCTAGCCTAAATAAGCGAAATAATAGTAGTCAAAATAATTGTAGTTTTATGTAAAAAAAGTTAATTAAATACTTAAGCATCTTGACTTTTAGTTAGATAGTATAATTTTGTTAGTCAAAATATAGTTGAGTAATAAAGAGTATATCTGCCATATTAAGTTAATTTTTTTTTACTTCATGTGTTATCTTCACTTCTTAGTTTGATTCCTATATCAATATGTCTTGAACTTATATCTTACCCTTCCCAAAAATACAATTACAATATTTTAAATAACAACTGGCAGCTTTCAAAAACCATCAGTTATCTAATAAATAAAAGAAAAATCCATAATATAAAAGGAATCAAAAGATAATGTAGGTATTTATGGAAAACTAATCTTGAATGTTCTTAATGCAAATAAAGAAAACAAAAATCTTTTTCATAATACTTTCTTCAAATGATAAATTATTAGTTTGTCATTTGTTTTAGATCTTGGAAATTTTGAACCAAGAGATTTAAGGAAAGTTAGTGGCCCAGGAGAGGAGGGTAAGCCTTATCACATGTCTCCAGATAGAGCTAACGACATATCCGAATCAGAGAGTGAATATGGCATGAATATTGCAGCATCAGATGATATTGCCATGAACAGGTAAAAATATTTCTAATATAATGTCCACAATTTACTAATTTGACATAGGACATATCCTTGTTTTACAGTGAAAACCCAATAAATCAAAATGAGTTTGTAATATAAATTGACTCAGTTTTTCATTTGCGAACATCTGTCAAAGCTGTTTGATTAATCTAATAATATGATATGATATGAATAATGTTTACACAGAATGTAACACGAAAACACATTCTGTAAAACTATTGTATGTTTCCAATAATTCATTGTGTGTAGTACTATATGTGACATTAATGTATTAATGGAAATACATTAATGTATGAAAAATTTTGTATATCTGTACCATGACTGTTCCTACAAATTCCTAGAAATCCCATGCAGATATTGCGACTGGAGACACCCGCCAAAGACACAAAGATTTCATTCTTTCAAAAACATTTCTCAGATGACCCGCAAGTGTGGATACCTTTACCTTTTGTTTATTACACATAAGTTTTAATTGATGCTGGTTATTTTTCTGAGTTTTATGGACATTCTCCTTTTGACAAAAAACGTGTATTTTAGTTAGGTTTATGATCTGTCTTTGGAAGACAATGCTTATAAAAAGGCTGAATGCTCTCGACTGTCTATATGCGACTGTCAATCTGCACCTGCTAACCCCAATTATCTACCCATTGAGCGAACAACGGACGTACGGCGTCTATAGTCCGTGCTGCATACTCAGGCATTTATAGCCTCCCAGCCCATGACGCTATAAAGTCGTCTTTTGCCACGTGACATACTCTCCAGACGCCAGTTGGTCCTAAAAGACAGGGTAGCCTATCACCACCTGCAATGTAATTCTCACTGCATGATGAACGAACAGTGTTGCAATGAATTACAACCTAATAAACCGCTAGTAGCATGCCTCCGCACCACAACGCGTTGCTGGTGCTGTGTGTCTTGATGCATTGTTATCCTCATACAATGGTATTGGCGCATGGCTTAGCCTCCGCCACACGACGACCCGCTGTGTGCCCTAGCTTATGTGTCGCCGGTACGTCCCGCCCTGACACTGCGCCGCCTAGCCACCGCTCCGGTTTGTGTGTGCAGTCTCAAACTAATTCGAACTATAGAAAAAAAAACTGCTGACGCTTCCGCTCCACCGTCTGTGTGGAGCGACTTTTAAGGGGTAGGTACCGCAACACGTGAGTCATAGAAGAATAGTTTCTCTCTTGTGGTGCGCCACATAGGCTAGGGCTAACCTAGAAAACTTATCCGGCGCCCAACCAAAGAATTCGTGACACTGAAATGGACCTATTCTATAATACAGTACCGGATGTAAGAACAAACTGGCTCCTATTACGAATCTGTTATGCTTAGTCCACTGTTCTCTCAGTGAGCACGCGCCTAAAAAGCAGCACGATAGGCATCTAGGCTAGCTAGGTTAGTCCTGCGGCAGTCCGCCTTTCTTCAGAAGGCGCAAACTGCCGTTCTTTCACTGCTTTGTGGAGCTTCTGGAGGCATATTCGTGAAGCATCCAAAAGCTCGTTTAGACGCCCTCTGAGATGCGTAAGAGCCAACATTAACAATCGGTCTAGGACGCCATTCGGACCAGGAGCCTTTCTGCTTGACCCATAGGGAAACGATAATACAGTCGAATTCATCTTCCGGTGGAAGATGACGGGGTGATCGATTTGGCGCTCTCAATCTACTCTATAATCTATCGACTGGTGGAATGAACGCTCCCCTACTTATACGAAAACAGATTAGACAAAATATGTCGTAGTAGTAGCGGCTCAAAGTTCCCCGAGGGAGGCGTCCCGTACGCACTTCATATCTCGCACCATACCCAAGGGACGCCTCTAGAAGGTCCTGTCTCCTGTCTAGTTCTGCCAAAAACTCCTCTAGCCCTGACGATTACTACTAGTACTAGCTGCATCTCCTTCTTGGTCGCTTTATGTGCTTGGTTGAGTGCCACTTCCTTTACAGAAGTGTGCCTACGGGGCGTAGACCTCATTTATGAGCGCGCAGAGCTAAAAGACAAACCAACAACACGTATTTACATCGATCACGACGATGTTTAGATTTTTATAGGCAATAACTTGCGTTAGCTGCTTATTTAAAATAGAATCTTGTGATTTTGAACCATAATACTTTAAAAGTTTTACTTTTATTTATTATTTTACTTTATACACAGGTCCATACCAGATACCAGACTAGACGAATGCAAGTACTGGCACTACCCAGAGGATCTGCCCAAAACATCTGTGATAATAGTTTTCCATAATGAAGGGTTCACAGTGCTCATGAGAACAGTTCACACGGTTATAGATAGATCGCCTCCCAATATACTCCATGAAATTGTACTGGTAAGTTCACATAAACTGACTTACTATATTATTATATTTCCTGTTTTTATGCAAGCAATTTAGCAAATATTCCGATCACGGAACCGAGTTAGTGGAGTGCTTTCTTTATTACATAACGACTTCTAAAAGAAGGCTGAAAACTTTTTTTTTAAATACTTTATTTGTGTTCTCACATTGGTAAGGTACATAAAAGTAAGGTATATAAGCAAATTCACTTTTTGTTTTAGTCTAAGCAAGTAGGACATAAGCAGGGGCGTATTTTAAAATCTGGCGCCGCCACTTATGATTTGCAGCCCCTAAAATTAGTACAATAAACCAAAATATATGTTAGTAATTAATGCCTTTTTATGGCTTCTTCCACCCTTCGCACTTAGGTATTAACATATAGGTTATAAGGGAGATAATACGGCCCTATAACAACTTTTTATTGTATGTATTGATCACGATGCCCCCTCCATGTTCTTAAAACCATAATGTTGATCAATCTTTCTTATTCAATAAATAAAAAATGTAACTAAGATTTTTAGCGGTATGCGTATGTATAATCGCAGTTGTGAAAAGTTCATGTTGCGGCAGAAACGTTATCTCAAATAAAAACATTATCGCATGGGAAAGTTTTGGTTTCATTTGAATTGAACGAGAATGTTTCGTGTTGCCTACTTGATCGGCAATTCCAAGTACGTTTTGCCGTGTATAACTTGTCACCGGTATTGAAATTTAAGGAAACTTTAAAATTATCGCATCTTAATAAATGTAAAACCAAGTCATCATATTTTTTTTTCTTTTTATAATCTATCTGGAAACATACATTTCTTCGTGATAAATAGATTCTTCGTAATTCTACCTGGATTAGCGATCATTTTCAGTAAATCCACTGGCTAGATTTATCATGGATCTACAATAATGAGTTTTGTAAATAATCACAACCTAATAAATCACTAATAATGCGCCACCGGCCGAGTTTCTTGATACATTGTCAGGAATACCATGGTCATGGCGCACACCTCAGTCCCCGCCACGCGACGCTTAAGTGCGTATTCCACCTGACTAAATTCAGACGTTCTAAATCATTCAGTAACTAATTCAATCAAGTGAAATAGCATTAAGGAAGTTAGGATCCTAATTACCAACCTAAATCGGAAGAAGTGTTGCTTCTGACTGACTAAATCATTTAGTATCCTAATTAGAAAGCGATTTAGGAAAGGGTTGAGGACGTTATTGTGTCTACGATTACGATTTACGCGAGTGCGCGATGTGGGCGGCAAAAGAAAAAGAAGTTATGAAATATACCCACGTTTTTCGTTTTTTACTTTCTTTTATTTTTATTGAACCAACGGCCAGGCCTACGAAAAGACCGTTTTTTTTTGTTTCTTTGACAGGACTGGTGCCATTACGAAAAAGTCCGACTGAATTCGCCGCGCGCTTGCAACTGACTGAAGCAGTAACTAAATTAGTCAAGTGTAATCAGAATCTTATAATTGGCTTTCTTTTTAGGATTCTAATTAGGACGTCTGAATATAGTCAGTTGGAATACGCGATTTAGCTGTAATATGTATCGCCGGTACGTCCCGCCCCTGACACCGCGGCGTCTAGCCACCCCGCTCCGGTTTGTGTGTGTAAACTCAAATCAATTCGACCTATAGAAAAAAAACCTACATGTGCTGTTTACATGCGATAAAAGTGAAACCTACAAAAATGTGAACACGTAAAAGTCCTTCATGACTAGGTCTGACGTCTTAACGATAACACCTGTGTTAAAATTTAACTCTCACTTTAAGTTTTCACTTCAAAAACTACCAACGCTTCCACTCCTCTCCGCATTCACAGTGATGTTGTTTTTAGATAGTATCAGAATCTAGTCCACCACACACTATTCATTTATATGGTACACATAGTAGGAAGATCAGGCTCTCAATATTTAACTTAGGGTTCTATATTGTAATTACCCTACATGCATTTTTACTATACCTACATACTTTACTACAGTATTTATACATGAAGTAGTGTACTCCTGCTTAAAGTTTTGTACGTTTTATACAGGTGGACGACTACTCAGACAAAGAAAACTTGAAAAGTAACTTGGATGAGTACATTAAACGTTTTAAAGGGAAAGTGAGATTAATCAGAAACGCGCATAGGGAAGGTTTGATTAGGACGAGATCTAGGGGCGCGCAAGAAGCCACTGGTGACGTAATCGTATTCTTAGACGCCCACTGCGAGGTGAACGTCAATTGGCTGCCTCCCCTACTAGCACCAATATATCGGGACTACAGAATCATGACAGTACCAGTCATAGACGGAATCGACCACAGAACCTTTGAATACAGACCTGTATACCAACACGGGATCAACTATAGAGGCATATTCGAATGGGGCATGCTTTACAAAGAGAACGAGGTGCCTGATAGAGAAGCGAACAGGCACAAACACAAATCGGAGCCTTATAAGAGCCCGACTCATGCAGGAGGTCTGTTCGCCATAAACAGGAAGTACTTTCTAGAAATCGGCGCTTACGACCCCGGTCTTTTAGTATGGGGGGGAGAAAACTTTGAGTTGAGCTTCAAAATCTGGCAATGCGGAGGCAGCATTGAATGGGTGCCTTGCTCTAGGGTTGGCCATGTGTACCGCGCTTTCATGCCCTACTCGTTCGGTAATCTAGCCAAAAATCGAAAAGGTTCGTTAATCACCATCAATTATAAGAGAGTGATTGAAACTTGGTTCGATGAGGAACACAAAGAGTATTTCTACACGAGAGAGCCGATGGCCAGATTCCTTGATATGGGTGATATTACTGATCAGGTTGCCTTGAAAGAGAAGCTCAAGTGCAAAAGCTTCAGTTGGTTCATGGAAAACGTAGCGTACGACGTTTACGACAAATTTCCAAAGTTACCGAAGAACGTGCACTGGGGAATGGTGAAGAATAAGGCTACTGGCGTCTGCTTAGACACGATGGGTAAAGCTGCGCCGGCTTATATAGGTGAGGTATTTCAAAATCAATGTTTTTGGGATATATCTATCTTTTTAAATTAACAGCAGTCGTTTTGATACACTTATGGAGCAATTACATTTGGCCGTGCTCCCGAAGCAATATTTACACTGGTATACGGTATCGGGTAAACAAAAGGAAATATACCCGAATACGGGCATCTAGACTCCGTTCATTTACAATTAGTCGTTTACCCGAATTCCATTGGCTCTCGTATTCGTCATCATCATCAACAGCCTATCTTAGTCCACTGCTGGACATAGGCCTCTCCAAATGCACGCCACTCAGATCGATCTTGGGCTACTCGCATCCATCCAGCTCCTGCCAGCCATCTTGCGCAAATCGTCACTCCATCGCGCCTGAGGACGACCTACACTACGTTTGCCTAGACGCGCGACTCCAGAACTCGTGAACTCGTATTCGTGCTAACGACCAAGTGTAATCGCGCTATAATGGTCTGCTAAATTATTTGTTTGGTAAAACTTTATTTGTGCTGCTTCCTTATGGATAGTAAGTAAAACTAATTTGAGCTTACAATATATATCAAGATCTTGAAGTACTAGTAGGTACTTTTGATGTTCCCATTTAGAAGGTAAACCGTGTACAGTAGAACCCGTTTAATACGATCACGCTTAATACGATTTCTCGCATAATACGCCATTTTGCGTCAGTCCCTGCAACTTGAGACATGTTTTCATACATTTCTTAACGCTTAATACGATTCGTCATCCCGTTAAATACGCTTAAATCACCAGCACGTACCACACATATTACCCTCTTGCAGCAGCATAAAATTCAATTAGAATGTGAATAACACACAAGAAGAGGCCCTAAGTGATAATGATTAAGTAGAAGATAAGTCAACTCCGATTTTGTCTTCTTTGAATCAAAGCGAAGACGCACTGCAAAAGTTAAATTATGTTGAAAATCTTGTAATTGCTAATGCCTCAAAATCTTTTTGACAAATTAAAATAAGTGCTTAATTTAAATAACGTAATAATAAATAACAATACACAAAAATTTTATAACATACCTACATAATTCTTAAATATTGTATATAAAAACTCGAATTTTCTCCCTATCCCGCAATCCCGCATAATACACTTTCCCGCTTAAGACGCGTTTTTGGTTGAGACCCTGTGAAATCGTCTTAAATGCGTTTTACTGTATTTCCTTGTGGATTGGTTGTTTTGATCCGAGTGCTTGTTCTTCAGGTACGTCTACGTGCCACGGGTCTGGCAACAGTCAGCTGTTCCGACTAAACGAGGCGGGACAGCTGGGTGTTGGTGAACGTTGCGTTGAAGCGGACTCGCAGAACGTGAAGCAGGCCATATGTCGGCTCGGCACCGTAGATGGACCGTGGAGGTAAAATACTGTTGCACCAATTACGATATAACTTGATTGTTTTTAAGTGAAAAATGGTAAACATATGCTCCACACATTGATTTCACTGAGAATCGTTATGTTAGTTTAGGACTTTTTATATCTAAAGAAAAGTTTAGAAATATTAGAGGCCGCGGTAGCATAATGGTCAGTGCATTCACCCGGATAGCGAAGGGTGCGGGTTCGAGTCCCGTCTGATGCCTGGTCCGCGTTGATTTTTTTTCTAGTAAACTTTTCTTTAGATTTAAACATCTAGCAGTTATGTGCTTAAAAAAGCAACTTTTTATATGTTATTTCTTATCAGTGAACTAGTGTGTTTTTTGTTTTATTATCAGCATTAATCTGCTAGACTTTAACTTTTAAAATTATCAAATATTTGAAAGAAGTAAAAGCAATGAAGTTAAAAAAAGCAATCGTCTTGATATCGAAATAGGCACTGGTTCGAATCCAGCCTGAGTGGAATAGCTTGAATGAATTTGCTTTAGATTTTATATAAATATTTATGTTTATAATGTCGGCTCTTCATTTGGCCATTCGTGTTTGCTATTTCTGCCGTCCTCAAGCTAAAGCACGGCTAAATGACAAAACCAACTTTCGAGATTATGGCCAAAAAACGGCGCGTAAACTTTAAATTATTGCTATTTTGTAACCATTCATCACATGACGGATTTTAAGATTTAAACTATAAAAGATACGAATACTTGTTAAAAGACAGATCGATAGAGTATAAGATGCAATTAAAGACTGAAAAATCGACCACATGTCACTTAGACGCACTATAATTTGAGGATGGCAGATTTGTAAACTTGACATCAGTCTATCCTTTTCGTGCCTTATTATAATGCATGATAAGGTCAGGGGGCCAATAGCCTAACGGGATTGCTATAGCTGTCGTCTTTAACATTGTTATTACCAATGCAAAAGAAAAAAAATGAAATCGTAAGCTATAGCGCATAGCCATTGCAATCGCGTTAAGCTAACGGCCCCCAGGCCTATGTATTGAATTCTTTCTAAAAAAATGTTAACAAATAGCAAAAAAGAGTATCCTGGAATCACATAATTTTATTATTCAGTAAAAATATCCTATGAAGCCTCTTCCATAACATGTTCACAAAATAACTTTAGGTAAATATGCATTTAATTTTGATTATCCATACTAATTGAGGAGCTGGCGAACAAAACAGTATAATTTTCGCATCTAGTCTTTTTTAACTACTTTTTTATTTCAGTCCGGAGGTCTCGGGCCCGTTGAATTTGAATCTCAAATAATTTTCAATCCGCCTAAAACAGTGTTAAAGTTACTTACTAAATTTATTAATTAAAAATCATGCCTAAATCTCACTCAGTTTTATACAGCTCCTGTAAAATTTAATTTTATGCAATTATACCGTTATGTTCGCCAGCTCCTCAATTATATTTCATAACTTATGTTACTTTTAAAACAACAACAGGTACGATGAAGAATCTCATCAATTAATACATCGGCTGCACGGCTTTTGCCTCACGCTTCAACCGCACTCTAGAACGTTGGGCCTCGCGCCCTGCGACCCCAACAACACCTACCAACAGTGGACCATATCCCACAAGAAGCCTAATTGGTGAGCCCACGCCACTAACTATAGGTATACATCCAGTAAAAGATAATTTTAGGTAAAATTGTACTTCTTGGGCCTGGGAGTAGGGGGCCGTTCAAGTATTACGTAAGCACTATAAATAAATATTTCCAACACTCACACCAATTAGCTTAGCCCCAAAGTAAGCACTGTAAGGCTTGTGAGTTGTGTTATGGGATGCGAGGGTAACGGATAGAATACATATACTGTACATTTATATAAGTTTATTTATATGTATAGAAATACATATAATACATCCATGACTAGAGTACAAATGCTCGTATTCATCACACAAGCACAAATCTGCACCGGGATTCGAACCCTCTCGAGTTGGCGACACCATGAAACCCGGCGTACAAACCACTCGGCCACGGAGGTCGTCGGACGGGGTTCTTTGCTTTATATTTTTGGTGGGGGTCGAGATAATGATTACGTTAGTATCATGTATTTGGGTGTCATGGACTGAAGTCTGTTAATTGGTATACATATACCAAAAATTGGAAAGTTTGTTTTCGTAATAGTACTTAATACTGTGTCAATAAAGTTTGTTTAAATGAATATTATGTGCGTTAAAGTCCTCTATCCTAAGCCTATTTAAGAACTGCTGCTCATGAAGCTCATGAAAGCTCATGAATCAATAAAAAAACAGAATACATTAAAGGAAAAATGCGTATAGGTACCAATGTTTACGTCAGCACGGCTGACAAGGAGGAGGAGGGGGTAAATAATTATAATAAATCTGCTTACCTAATACTTGAACGGCCCCTAGACAATTATTTTTTCGGTATAAGTCTCAGGTTAACGAAGATTTTTTTTCTAAGCTATGGTCACAACACTAACTTAAGCTATTATTGTAGAGAGTCAAGTTCTGCTCCTGCGCCCAAGAAGTACAGTTTAATCTAATTTTAACAACAATGTTGATTATTGCGTCGCAAATTGCTGTCGGACGTTCTCTGCAAATAATAGAGATGATGTTGTACATTTTGTTAAAAGATTAGTACTACGTTATTCATTACCTGACAAAAAATTTATGCAATAATGATTATTTATATAAGGAATTTTCCCGAGTGGTTTAAAATTTAAATATTGCATTTAAATCATTGATTAGGTAGACAGATATTGAAACAATACATTTATATAAAGAAAAACTTAAAGCTAGGGTTGACAATCTTTATAGAAAATACAGATATATGCTTGCCAGCAATAGGTAAGATAGAAATAATTAATATTAGCCTAATGTTAGCATATTATTCTTTAAAAGTTTTCTGCATACTATCTTCTGGTGCCATTCTTTCGTGACATAAAACAGTTTTTTAATACAACATCTGAGATTAAAAATACTTACTTTCATTCGGTGTAATTATAAGTTTTCTATAAAGGTTAACAATCCGTTAGCATGTTTTAAGATAACAATAAGTTATTCCGTTCATAAAAATATCAATCTCTTTAAAAGTAACTTATTTCGTGTTCAAGTATAATTTTATTAGGTTCACCTTTTTAAATGTTGTATTGTTAAATAATTTTAATGATAATATCTTCCGATTGTCATTATAGAATAAATTCATAGCATTTATTGACAAATATCCAATTGAGTCACAAAAGTGATGAAGAACTTATATTGAAACTTAATGAGAAATTGTAAAAATAAATAGTTCCTTGAAATAGTAAATAGTGCCAACCCTTGTCTAAAATGTTCATATGTATGATTAAAATGAAAATACTATAAAAATATTCCATTAGCTTGTAATGATGACACATTTTTGGAAATATTAAGAAGATAATACTTGTTGATAGGATAGGTGAATACAGTTGGTTATTTTTGTACTTAATGAAAATAATACCTATAGTTATGAATATACCCTGCGAGCGAAAGTGCGAGCGAAGTGATATAAATTAATATATAAAATACATATCCAAGTTCTACGCAATAGTTCCTTTGCGAGCCCGGCAAAGCATCAATTTAATCTTAACAAGGTACTTACTGCACCGGCTCAATGACCCAAAATGTGGATTGACTTTGCCTCTAATTTCAAACTTTATATTCTTCTTCTTATGGTACCTCTCCACTACTGGAGTTTGGCCGTCAGCTCTGCGTAAATGTCCTTGTCTCATGCCAGACGAAATAGGTCTTCCACGCTGGCGATACAAGTCCACTCTCTGATGTTTCAGAGCCACGACTTCTTCCTTCTTCCGAAGCATATTCTTCCCTCTATCTTAACCAGCATTATAGTCTAAAGATGCAAATGCTCATGTCTTAAAATATGACCAAGAAAGGCTACCATTCTTTTGTTGATGGTCTTCATGAGTTGTCTGGGTTTATTCACACGTCTGACGTACCTATATTCAAACTTTATATAATACTAGTGGCCCGCCTTCGCTTCGCTTCGGTGTAGAGCTGTAGTGTAGGAAGATTATAGGTTTTGTCCTCGGGCTTGTATGAATGGATTTATTTGTATAATTATTAACCTTCCACTAAGATTTATTTAATTGATACTGAAAATTTTATTGCGTACTTTAGGACCCGTTGTACCGAATGCACCATTTTTTGGTTGAATGCGCAAATCTCAGTAACTAAAGCAAAAAGTTGAAAAAAACTTATTGTGTGAGAAAGTGCATTTATTAAGGAAGGCTAAGGCTATATAACATCAGGTAAAAATAAACCATTTGTGAGCTTCCGTTGCGTGCGCTGCGTAAATGATTAAAGTTACATAAAAATCATGCATGGTGGAATTGTTCCCCTTTAAAGGTTATATAAAAAAGTCCGCGACAGCATATGCCCATCTTTTAAGTTTGGCTCACTATAACCTTTTCCTCAAATTGACGTGGGTGACACCGCAGGGGCGGACCTTTAGTTGTGCCATAACTGTAATAATAAACTTATGGTATCACGGACTTTTTTGTAGATATTGATGTACTCTATAGAACTTTAGTACAACACTTTGCTCTACTGTCAATGACTTCCGCAGCGTAAGTGATATAAGGTTATTTTTTTCACACCCTGGGTTACGTTATCGAAGTTCTCATACGGAATCGTAACTTTTTTGAAAATACTCTATAGCCTATGTTCATCAGGGATAATGTAGGATTCTAAACGTGAAAGAATTTTCAATCGGTCCAGAAGTTTCGGAGCCAAACAAAACAAACAATCAAATATTTCTTCTTTATAATATTAGTATAGATATTTATACCCCTGCCTTATGCCAGATCTGACCATTTATGCATGTGTAGTTTGTTTAGGTTTTTGACATCTTCGTTCCCCATTGTTTCTGTGTAACATGTGCGTCGATTCCTGTTATCATTTAACTGTCAGTGCGTAGTAACATCTGTATCCGGCTCGAAGGACCAGGGAATAGATTTTACACGTTATTTAACCATCGATATATATTTTCGATATTTTTTTTTTCATTAGCTGGTTAAACAACTATCTTATCACAAGTAAACACAGGGGCCAAGTTATATAAGATATTGTGATAAGCTTATTTTAGACACTCAAAATAGTCATATCTTAAAATTTTTCACAATTCGAAAAACTCTGAATATGCCGTGAAACAATTTAAGAGTACTATTATGTTTTTCTTGTCTTCATTCATAGTTTATAGTGACAGTCTAAGACTTGCCAGGCTTCTGTATATAGTATAAATAATGGGAATGAAATTGTTCCTAACAGTAATTAGCCGAAGTTAGCTCAACCAGTTTGTTATAGTTTCATAACCTATCTGAAATCCTTCTAATATAACGAAACATTGATGTCGATACTGGCATGACTCTATAACCGTAAACTTAAATTTGACAACAGTGTATCCTTGTCATTCTCTATACAGAATGAAAAGGAGAGACTGATGTTAAATTTAGTTTTAAGTTTAGAGAACCATACCAGAATCGACACCTTTGTAACTATCTTTGGATGTATCAAGCAAATTTTGGAATACAGATAGTGAATTGCTTAACGTATAGGATACTAACTTTTTACCTCGTAAAAACAAAAAGAGGCTAAAGTGTCAAAAAACAGGCCAAGCGCGAATATCGATCAAAAGGATTAGCAAAAAAACTTTTTGTGTTAGATACTGCATTTATTGAGGAAGGGTTTAAGGCTATATAACATCTTGTAAAAATATACCATTTGTGAGCTTCCGTTGCGTGCGCTGCGTAAATGATTAAAGCTACATAAAAATCATGTATGGTGGAATTGTTCCCGTTTAAAAGTTCTATTAAAAAGTCCGCGACAGCATATGCCCATCTTTTAAGTTTGGCTCACTATAACCTTTTTCCTCAAATTAACGCAGGGCAGAAAAAAAAACGTGTTTTGTGAGATCCCCACTTAAATATTTTTTTAGTATGTTTTGTTGTAAGGGCAACAGAAAATATCTCATGTGTGAAAATTTCAACTGTCTAGATAACACAGTTTATGAGACACAGCCTGGTTACAGACAGTAGTCTTAAGTCAGAAACATAATTAACGTGTCGTGCAGTGTCGACGCTCTAATCTCTCTCTCTCTTTCTAACCCATAATAAATGTATGAAACCGACGTACTTCTGGTGCGTCACGATCACGACACGCAAATATGTTTCTGCCTTTAGTCCCATTTTTAACCGACTTCAAAAAAAGGAGGTTCTGTGTTCGACTGTATATTTTTTACCCTTTTTTTTTAGTGTGAATGCTGTTGGTCTCTATGACCTTTATAGCGTCACCGGGTTTGACAATTTTACCCTTTTGGGTACGAAACCCTATTTATTTTCCAACCCTGTTCGGTTCTTTAACAACGTCACAAAATACCATAACTATTGTTTTGGATTTAGTATTTATTTATCGGTGTCACATAGGAAGATTTCTAAATTAACTTATAAATAATATGTTTAAAATTAATGATAATGAATAAATAATGTTCTATTTCGAATTGGCGATTGACAGTCGAGGGTTATCAAAAGATTAATCAAGTTATGAAGGCGGTAAAGGCGAGTATAATGTACCTATTTTAAGGGATGTGTGTATTGTACCCGGTGTATGGATGTGTGAATTTGTTGCAATTAAAAATTTTACATTTTATTTGCTTTACTAACGAAGACCACAATACAGTAAATCAGGGCAAGCGGGGCTGTGGCCCACAAGAGATAAAAAACAACATATTTCGACAAATCCTTCATTCTCTAAATCCGGTCCTGCTATAAATAATTACTGTGGCAAATTTCGAAATTAGGTACTGGGATTGTACTTGTAATTAAGACATACGTCCGTACTCAGCATTACTATTTTCTTTCATTGACATACTCATTTCTAAACATTAAATTTAATTGACATGTCTGAGTAAATAAATTTTCAAGTAAATTTGTGTAAAAAAAGTCTCATTTCAAGTTTAGGAATTATTATTATCAGACGAATATTGCAATAATTAAATACATAAAGAAATATTATACGTTAGTGATTTCAACCTTATTTCGTGTTGTTAAATATATCCAAATGTGCTCAAAGCATTTTTAGAGATTTGTAAAAACATCCTACTTAGATGTAAGTTTGTTATGAAATAGCAATAATTTTAATAGTTCTTTATTCTAGTGTGTTGTCATATTTTATTGTCATCAGGGTCCTGTCATTTATTTTTTCATGTGCTGTCTTACTCTATTGTCATTACACAGAAAGTCACAGCAATAACTTTAATGAAAAAGTTAACTATCTGACTCTGAGTACGGCCGATAGTGTATTTCTGTTAAGGTATATCTGCCCTATTCTGTTCCCTTGTACTATATTTAGATTTAGATACAGTAAAGTAGGTAGCTCTTTCTGTTTTTATATGAATATTATTATAAGTTAAATATAAATTGGAAATTAAAGTGCCTGTCTGGTAGTCCAAAATTGATGTTATAAAAATTCCGGTGGTACCTACGAAATTTTCAGTGGGGTCAAGTAAAGGACAGTGTTATAAGAGGCAAAGTGTAACGGAATATCTCTGCCCTTTTCTTATTTTTTTACTGGTCTTGACATATTTTACTAGTTTCATATGCAGCAACTGCAGCTAAGACATCCTGGTAATGGTATATTACAGAGGTATTCTTTTTGTTACACTGTCCTTCACTTAAACCCTGTGAATTGACATTTGTGAACTCACAAGGCACTGTTACTGTGTTATATTCATAATAATTTACTGGTCCCTTGATTCAGTTATGAATCTATTTGCAAGTATTTAATAATTATATATTTATTTAAGCCTATTGTAAATTTTCATCATAAGAAAAACATCCAAATTAGACTGAATTCATGTAATGAATACATTATAAAATAATTTTGGGGCTTTGCCTGAGTAAATAAAATGTAATAAATGTTTAGCATAAAGTATTAAGTTTACTTTTTAGAAAATTTATTGATAAAGGTTCATTCCAATTTTCAACTTATGAGTTTTATTTAATGATAATAAATTATATTTTTTTTTAGTTTGATTGTCTTTAATTGGCCTTGATCTTATAAGACAAATGCCTTATTGTCTTAAATTGATTATGTTTGACTCTGTTATTTGTACTATGCTTTATAGTCACAGCTCAGTGGCGCTATCTATTTAAAGACTCATTGAATTTATTTACTTCTGAAATACTTCTATTCAAAATTAGCAAAGCCAAGCTTAAAGATATATTCTCTTACAAGTTTTCTATTGTTCTGTTAAATACATTTCATTTATTGTAGACGAGATTAATTAATTTATTTGTAATAATATGTAGTTGTTTAAAATTAAAGAAAGAATTCATGGTACAGCCTTTGTACTCCCTTATGAATATGCATTTTATTTGTTTTATTTCTCTAAAAGAAAAGTACTGTGATGTGGTTTATACTTGGCAATTTTGTATAATTGTAGCAATTGTATATAAATTGATATTTACTTATTAATATTTTTTTTATTTAATCACCCATAACATATGATATATTTGAGAAGTTAAAGCATCTGTAGCATGATAGATGTTAATGAAAAAACGGAAAGCAACTCGCAAGCATAGATAACAAAAATCTCAACCTAAGACCCCTGTAATGTATTCGACATTTTAAAAAAATTCCTTTACCTTTTAAACACATACAATAAAATTAATATGCAAGTCATTAGATTTCTATTCAGACACCTTTCTTTTAAGCTTTAGTAGAGTTATATGTTATTAATTTGTGTGGGATCCTGAAATATTAAATAAGTGCTATAATACTTATAAAGTTCACTCTTTATTAACTCAATAATTTATATAATGTAGTAAATGCTACTATAGCTATGAGATTAACTAAGCAGTTGCGCACAGGTAAGTCTTTATCAAATCTGTAAACTAATATCAGAGCAAGTGATAACATTTTATAAATATATTTCTACTCATACAAATGCAAGTTAATTCATTAATTCATAATACTAAAGTTATTGTTCTTATACAATCCACAAAGGAAGGAACTTATTAATTTGAAAGTGGCAATTAATATTATAATTAATATTTGAGTAAGTTGGTTATTTTATATTTGTAAATGACATTAATTTAATGGGAAATAAAGAATTATCAATTTTATAGCACAGGAGTTTTTGCCCACCATTCATCCCAATTACTAATCCTCTTTGCTGTCTCCAAAACTGACCAGTTGGGTGAGGGAATATCTGGAGCCAACCAATTGAAATCATCTAAACGGTCCCAATTATTAACATTTCTGTCTAAAGATGACATATTAAAATGTTTGTCTAAATCGTCATAATATAAATTATATGGTGCTGTTCGAATTTCTGAGCAATCCTCAACTATTCCTTTGCTAGTCACATGTAAATAAATATCACATTTTGATGATGTATGCATACGAAGTTGCTGGCAGGCAGTGACAATTTTAGAGTTAGTACATTTTTCAACAAATACAGATGATGTGACAGGTCCGCAAAGAATTATGCAGTTATCTAAATTGTTCATGTGTAATGTGCCCATTACACCTTTTAAAGCAATTGTACAGTTTTTGAGGTTACGTAGAGCAACATCTCGCTGAAACAAATCATCACTATCAAGGGATAGAACTTTGTTCTCCAATGAATCGAAACCAAAAAGCTTTTCATCCCATTTGTTACTATCTGTTTTACCAGCTCCATCATTTTCATCGAAAGAACCTTGCTTTTCAGTGTGTGACTTTAGCAGCTTCTTTTTACTAAAACCAAATTTCTTGCGAGGCACATATCTATCTTCAAGTTCGTAGCATTGTGTTTGCAAATTCTGTACAATGCCCAAATATTTACGCATGTTGAATTCTTTTAAGAAAAAAGATGATGTGATCACATACTTTTGTAATTCATTAACTTCCCTTTTGATATTATCAATATGAGATGGGAGAACTTTGATGTCCATTGTAGGTATTTGTGAAAGCATGTCTTCGATGCATTCTGACTTTATTTTAAAAGCTCCAGCAAAATAGTCTTCATTTTCATCAGAAGCATCAACTTCCTCCCGTGCCTTGTGTGCCTTTTGTAATTTCTCAAGTCTCTGTGCATCTCTCTTGCTTAGTCTTTCTAATATACTATTTTTATCACTCATTTTTTTAATAATTCCTCTATTTTTTTGTTGAGTTCAGAGTTTTGATCTGCTGCCTCCTTCAGCACTTTAATTGAGTCAATAGAGAATTTTCTAGTATCTGTATGTTTGGATGATTGGTCAAACTGAAATAAGACAATTTTAAGTAGATAAAACTATACAACTATATTATATGACTATGCATAACAAATATTATTAGCGGCAAATCTCACATGATCAAATCTTGGTTATATTATGAATGGTTCAAACTACCTCTAAATGATTTTACCACAATGATTACTAAAGTTCCTTTATATTTAAACAAATGTTTTCTTTATACACAGATCTTTATACAGTAATGTATTAAGACAATGATTTCACAAGAAAGTCAAACCACAATACAACACAAACCCAAAGACATGCATGAGTAGAAATCCCCAAAACAATGACAGTTAAACATCAGTGACCACTAAAATTCAACAAAAAAGTTTGTATAATGACCTCTTTAAGCAGCTCATCATTAGGTTTGACCACTTTGAAGAGTGCATAAGTGAGGCCGCCAATGGTCACCACCCAAAACGAGGTTCTAATAGCAATGCTCATCTCACCAAGATTTAAATTTTCCCTTCGTTAGTCCAGACTTTTAAATCCTGCTCTCTTGTTTTGTGATCGGCAATTCTCTCACCCAACTGATAGTAACCTTCCAACACCCAGTTACAGTTTTTGTACATATACAGACGAAAATCTGAAAAACAAAATGTAAATTACAAACCCCATGTTAAATAGGATTAATATAGGATACTCATAACAAGATTATGAAGTAATCAGTGTAATTTAAAATCAGAATCCATTTTCTATACCTCTTTCTGTGTTGAGCTTGAACCACACTCCGTATGACACTGCTAAACCGAGAGCTTCAGCAATAAAAATAGTTTTAAGTGCCGTTCCAACAAACTTCTTGTAAGTTGGTTTTGCTTGTTTTACTAACATATTACAATAAAAATTGAATACAATTTTGATTAGTTTTGGTTGAGCGAAACGTCTGACGCACCATAATTCGAAGACATCGACGACGACATCACGACATGACGTAAGAAAAAAATCATAGAGTACATTGTTATAAAAAAACACAGATAATGACTCTGTCACAGGCAAGACAATCCTTTGAAAATTTTTGACAGCAGTCTATCCTTTTCATTCTCTTTGGAACATGTTAAGGATGTTATCAACTTGTCATGCCACAATATAAGAAGAAGAAGAAGAATATCAACTTAGTTAATGCTTGGTTCATAGATTTTATGCCGGCACTTCACATTCTATTGGCTATGTAAACTTGTCAACAGTTTGTCGTTTTCACAATTTTTTCAAAATATTTTAGTTCAAAGATAGTCAAAACGACAAAAAGCAAATTCGAGTAGCCATGTAAAATACCGGCATTAAACAAACTGGCCAGTGCTATAGTATACTGGCCAGTGCTAATGACGTCATGAATCGACGCTATACTGGTGAATTGTTCCGAAATATACTGGCCATTGCACTGACGTCATAAATCGACGAAACATTAAAAAAGTGCGAATAGGGAAGATTTTTTATTCACCTCATCAATTAAAATGATTTCTTTTTGTTCAGATAGCATTATTATTCTTTATAAAAAAGAAATAAAATTCGAATGCATCTCACGCTCGCTCGGTCATACGTCATATTGGTTTTTCCGGTAAAAATATGGTAGCATACCAGTACAATATGGCGTCGGATTCGTGATGTCGTTACCACTAGCCAGTATACTGATGTATATTTCGGAATACACCCCATGATTTTTACCATAGGGTACGGCCAGAGTGCACTCAGATTCAGATTGAGATTCCGAAAACAAGCGCGAGAAATAAACAGTGTAGTCTAAGCAGGTTGCCTGCTTTTTCTCGCGCTTTGTTTTCTGAGTCTGAATCTGAATCAGGAGTGCACTCTGGCCGTACCCTTCGACTACACTGTTTATTTCTCGCGCTTGTTTTCGGAATCTGAATCTGAATCTGAGTGCACTCTGGGTGCGGCCAGAGTGCACTCAGATTCAGAGTCAGATTCAGATTCTGAAAACAAGCGCGAGAAATAAACAGTGTAGTCGAAGGGTACGGCTAGATTGCACTCCTGATTCAGATTCAGATTCAGACTCAGAAAACAAAGCGCTAGAAAAAGCAAGCAACCTGCTTAGACTACACTGTTTATTTCTCGCGCTTGTTTTCGAAATCTGAATCTGAGTCTGAATCTGAGTGCACTCTAGCCGCACCCTCTGGCCGTACCCATAGACTTTAGTAGGTGTGGGCCAAGTAGGCTATGAACTATGAATGATTCGTATTTTCTTTATAGTCGAATTGAAAAAAACCGCGGGAAACGGCAAACTAACAACCACTAATAATAAATTAATGGTAGCCTCAAAAGGATTGGTCGTAATCGTATATATAGAGCCTTTTCAGATTATACAACTGCCAATTCGTTGATTAACAGGGTTTAAGGCCTTTCAAATACAAGACTTTTATTCCTTCTATAAATGTTATTCGTATGGGTGTAGTCAGTGCCGTCTTTGACCTATTGGAGGCACTGGGCATATTAGGATAATGGGGCTCCTATGACTTCCGTTTGGTGATTTAACAGGAACTAGGGACTTTGTATTTGATCGGGGCCCCCTATCGATCGCGGGACCCTGGGCACTTGCAAAAAGTGCCCACTGGGAAAGACAGGTCTGGGTGTAGTAAAAGGTATCTGTATTAGCTGGACTGATGATGAAATTTTGAGTAACATATTAGTTCCCTTAGGAAGCGGCAAGACATTAAAGGTAAAATGGTTAAAAAAGAAAAAGATCATTGATGGCAAAACTGAATTTATTCCCATAGAGACAATAGTTTTCACTTTTGAAGGACAAGTATCGCCTAAAAGAATATTTATGTGCTATAACTCACTCCCAGTATAGTTATACATCTATCCCACTATACAATGTTTTCACTGCTGCAGAAATGGACATATTAAGAGTCAGTGCAGATCCACACCTAAGTTTCAAGTGCGGCCAAGGCCACTCAGGTGATACTTGTTCAGTAGATGAAGACTCTTTGTTTTGTTGTTTATGCTCAGGTTCCCACTTTACAACCAGTAAGAAATGTCTTGAATTTACAAGGCAAAAATCTATTAAAGAAACCATGGCCAAAAATTGTTTAACTTATTTTAAAGTTAGATCCACCAGTTACTAAACTTTATTCTGATGATATATATATATAGGTATATATATTCTAAGTTCTAATATGCCATCAGCTTCTCCCAATAAATTAGTAGAAAATAACTCCAAACAGCCAATTTCATATGAAAAAAACTATTTTTACTAAACCTAAATTTCTTTCAAAACCCAGTTATGATCAGATTGCTCACTCTAAGTTAATTAGAGATGATTCTGTCCCTTCGCCAACAGTTGGCACTTTAAATAATCGAAATAATAATACTCCCCTTGTAGCATTACCTTAACAAACTTAATTATAACATTAATAAACTCACTGTATGAGTGTAAATTCGTTTCTATACCGAACAACGCTGCACCAGAAATAAATATAATTAATTCTAACAAAACCAATAATGGACCAGTCAAGTCAATCCTAATACACTACAGTGGATTTGTCGTAGTGTAGGACAAAAAAGTGATCTTATCGATCTACAAGAAACTTGGCTTCGTCCAGGTCCAAATAAATAATTATTATTGCCTACGAGAAAGTAGGTCTGATGGCCAAGGTGGTGGTGTTGCCTTGTTTGTCAAAAACTCTTTCATTTCTACCCATTCCTGTACATAACGATTTTAATGTCATTGCTGCCAAAAATATCTAAATAAATATATGCTATGTTTACATAAACATCCCTCATCCTTCTTTTTTGATATTTAATGATATAAATACCATTATCTCTGATCTGCCCAAGCCCCTTATAATTATTGGGGATTTCAATGCGCAAAAGCAATCCTGGGGTAGTTCTAACTCTAATCACTATCCCCCTTATTAATAAACGAGAACTATGCTTAGACTAGTTACGCCGTGTTTTGTTCATATCCCTTAGGGTGCGGCCAGAGTGCACTCAGATTCAGATTCAGATTCAGATTCCGAAAATAAGCGCGAGAAATAAACAGTGTAGTCGAAGGGTACGGCCAGAGTGCACTCCTGATTCAGATTCAGATTCAGACTCAGAAAACAAAGCGCGAGAAAAAGCAGGCAACCTGCTTAGACTACACTGTTTATTTCTCGCGCTTGTTTTCGAAATCTGAATCTGAATCTGAGTGCACTCTGGCCGCACCCTTATATGCCATTTGTCATTCGATGAACAGAGACAAAACAAAAACATGGAGTAACTTATCGAACTTATTCTTCGTTTTTAATAAGGGGTTGGGGTTAGAGTGTAAAGTGGCTTCCACATGATACAATTTTACGTCCAATTTGATTAGATTGACAATCGAATTGTGTTGTGTGGACGGAAATATGAAATTGAAGGTCGTCGGATGGTCGGTATCGCCCGATTCGGGATTGCCCAATCAAATTGGGTGGTGTGGACGCTAACTGGCCAATTTTTTAACGTAGTCACTGTGCAAGCGGCGTTCAGAGCGGGTATGTGCGTTGATTTGTCTTTTGAGAAGAAAGATGGAACAACATGACGACTATCTCTTATCTATTAGACAAGTCCGTCCGTCCGTCTGTGGTGCTGTTTCAGCGGCCAAACCGTAAGAGATAGATAAAGAGAATGTTTAAGTTATAAGTTAAGAATAGTCTGATAAGACTTTCAAACGAAACCACACAAAATCTCCGATGTTCTCAATTAATTAAATACATTTTTTTTTTGGTGAACATTTTGTTCACTGGTTTGCTAGTCATGTCTATTCGATCTGAACGGGAAATAATGGAGGAGATTTTAGATATATATAAAGATTTGCCATGGCTTTGGGATGTGTCTAACCCATTATATAAAAATAAACAAGCAAGGCATAATTCCTTAGATATTGATAAAAAATATTACTCTTTAAGTATCATTATATTTAAGTTTATTGATTGAGTCACTTAGGTAAATATATTATACTCAATTGCTTTCTTTTTAATAACCATTGTTTTGTCCACAGTCTTCTTTTTCTTTTTTTCTCATCTACATTTGTAGTTAGAGCCAAGATTAATCCAATTTTTTGCTTCTTGGTAAGAGGCATCCTAATACAAACAAGTCCGTTCAGCGGAGGCAACAAACAAATAAAACTGAAATTGGCGATCTTGTTGTGTATGTGTAGACGGACGACCAGATTGTACCCAATTCGATCGGCAATCAGATTGGCAATCAAATTGTGTCGTGTGGAAGGGGTTTTAGATATTCTCAATAATCACAATCTTTGTATCCTAAATAGCGGTGTGCACGAAAACGATGTGATTCTGACCAGTTCTGGCGCGTCACGACACTACACGATACGAGTGTAATATGTTTCTGCCTTTATCTTGATTTTACTGGGTAGGGTCCTGCTCATTTCATCGAGCCTTTGAGAGTGGATGAAATGGGTACGAAGAAGACTTCCCCTGTTTGCGCTACTCCCGATGGTTCGGAGGCGTAACGCCTTTTCCAGATGTAAAAAGGTATCTATTCCTTGTGCCTTGTGGAGTAGGTAAATTAATGAAAATAAATAAACAATTACAAGTCGAATGAAATTTATAATTTTCTAATATCTTCCTATATTATTTCTAATCATTAATTATGGATGGATTAATAGTACTTAATAAATTATCTTCAACGAGCCAAATCTGGTTCAGGAGTATCTAAAACAAGGAAAAATAAACAAAACAGATTAATTTTCAGTCATTAGAAAATCAAGCAAGTTGTAAATCTACATAAATAACCTTAATCACCGATATGTAGGTAAGTATTTTTAAACTTCTTAAGAAAACTTTCATGGTCATTAACAGTATAGCTATTAACGGGTTTGTTACCATGTACCTTGTTTTTAGTTACTCCGTGATCATGGCGCTTGCAACAGTGCCGAAATATCGGAGACTCATCAAAAAAAAAGGTAGATGGTAACAATCCCGTTAATAGCTATAATTCTTATGAAAAGTGTTTGATTTAATGAAACAGACGATTTTGAGAGTTCTTTAATAAGATAAGTGATACAAATAAGACCTACCTAAATTCAAACACTCATATCATGATAAATTATTCGAAGAAGGTGGTAAATAAAAGCAAGGCATTATTCCTTGGTTCATACATTTTAGGTAATTAAGAAAACATATTACTATCATTATCAGAAATCACATAAAAAGAGCTAATTCTGAAACCTTAGCCTTAAGCCTTTTAAAAACATAGTGACTTAACAAAGCCTTTGTTAAGTCACTATGTTTTTAATGAGCGTGAGGTAGTTGAAAACCTTCGGTGGTCAGAAATAACAAAATGAAATCGTAAGTGATACGGATAGCCATAGCAAAGGCAATAGGCCCCCTGGTGTACGCTACCTTGAGCGTCATGCCAGCGTACACCATGAAAACAGTAATTAGTTCCTAAACTAAAGAGGAATATTTTATTTTATTATTGCACTAATTATGCAGTATTTATTAGCTTATGTAACAACATCGAACTCGATGAGGTGTACGCTAGCATGAAGGACACGCGCCAAAGTATAATACATACATAATTTTGTAGAAATTCATAAAAAACAGTCCTTATTCATCACACGAATTTAGAGATTGAATCCCAGAATCATTGAGTAAGCGACCGGCACCTTAAAAACCTGTGTACGGGTGCGGCCAGAGTGCACTCAGATTCAGATTCAGATTCTGAAAACAAGCGCGAGAAATAAACAGTGTAGTCTAAGCAGGTTGCCTGCTTTTTCTCGTTTTTTCTTTTCTGAGTCTGAATCTGAATTTGAATCAGGAGTGCACTCTGGCCGTACCCTTCGACTACACTGTTTATTTCTCGCGCTTGTTTTCGAAATCTGAATCTGAATCTGAATCTGAGTGCACTGTGGCCGTACCCTACTGCTCTACCACGGAAGTCGCCAAAAGTGTTTAGAGTCAAATCGATAGTGAAATTATTTGAAAACTTACAAGGATCACTTTTTCATCAGCGAGATTTTGTATTCCTATTGTACATAGCGCCAACGAGGAACTTAAAAGATGACATGGTAAGAATATTTTTTTTAACAAGTCATACATTTGTATCATTTAAGTTCCTCTGTGGCTTAAGTGGTTAGTATGTTCGGTCTGTCATCGATGGGTGACCAAATATTTATTATCTCGCACTCTTCACGACATTAGTTTCTGCTGAATCAGCAGTCGTTAGCTCCCACCCACTAATCCGCACTGGGTCCGCGTGGTCGGTTATGGCCCAAACTTTCTATTCCATCCATAGGGAAAATTTGAGCCCCAGCAGTAGCAACATTGATAGGGCAATGATGATGACATTTCTTAAGAACATAATCATCATTTTGACTTTATTAAATAACAATACCTTCTTCTCCTTCCTCTCCTTCTGATTCTTCGGCACATTCTTCTTCGCATTGTTCGGTCTGAAAAGTTTCTTCCTTCAAGCAGTACTTGGGCACCTCTTTTTCTTCTGTTGTTGGCTGGAATTTACATAAGAGTAATTAGATAAGTGAAGTGCGACAACATTACTTTATTCAGATCTCAAAGAATCAAATACATCAGGAAATTAACGCACGACAGAGCCACAAACATTCCAGACAACATTAAAATATCATCATCATATAAGCAGCAGATTAATGCCTGGGGTGGGCAGCCTTTCCAATATATGGACCAAAAAGGATAACTGGCCATAACCCAAATCATTGCGAGGATGGCTTGCGGTGCCTAACGATTGCAGCTAATGAAGCCTGGACAAACGGCTATACGTGCCTTCTGAATCTCTTAAGAATTCTTTAGAGTCTCTGAGGAACTCAGATTAGCAAATTTTTGGTCACCCATCCTACGATTAGCCGTTCTCCTTCTTTGAGAATCCCACAACAACCCAATATTTATCCAAGATAAAAAGTATCTTATGACCTTATCAAGGTAATAAACTATACATGTGCTGAATTTCATTCAGTTCAGGTGTTTTTGCTCGATTCACAAACTTTCAGAATCATTTAAGTAACAAATATTCTACTCACGCTGTACTTGCCGACGATGACTCCATCTACTATGTGGTACCGGTACCGCAGGCGTATGCCCGAGCGAGTACCGTTGACGCAGTCGCCCTCACAAGGCCAGTCCTCCCATGTGGTCATGGGACACGCCTCTGACGACTCCGGGTCAGTAGTCACGGGTTCTTCACTAACACATATAAATGAAAAAAAAAATATATCGTTTGTTCAGTTTTGGCTGTAACAAGCACTTTTTTTTGTGAATATCAAGAAGCTTCGCCATCGGTTCGCAAATCTACTGCGGGAGACCTTTTACTGAGAAGAACCGGCAAGAAACTCAGCAAAGTTGTTTTTTTCTACCTGTATCGTTATATACAGAGTCTTCAAGAAGAAAAACCAGCCAAGCGCGAGTCGGACTCGCTCACCGAGGGTTCCGTAGAAACATGTACGTATATAACGATTATTAAAAAAAGTGATGTAACTAAAAAGGACAATGTTAAAATTGGCCTAAGAATCAACACCAATTTGGCATTTATGATAATTCTTAGTATTTTTTTTTGCGATAATTATCAGTATTTAGATTGTGACGGACACTTCCAGTTAAGTAAGCTAAATTAAAAAGTTAAAAAATAATCTGAGACATTAAATACCATTTTATGTGTATAATCTATGGCAGCGCTGCAAACAAAACACTCTTTCTTCCCAATGCCGGCACTTCACTTGGCTATTCGTATGTGCTATTTCAAAACATGACATCAGTCTGTCCTTTTCGTTCCTTATTAAGCATGACAAGAACAAACTGTTGTCAAGTGAAAGGCCGGCATAAAACTCGTTACTCTGTGGTTGTGGTGCATGCAGTTTGCATTCGTAGTAATCTGTGGCATTCCAAAGAATAGTAATATAGCTCGTTTCGGATTGCCTGTTGTGTGTGTTTATTTGCGATTGTTTTTCCTTTAATTTAACTATTTCGGCTATCTAATGTGCCATCGATGTTACCTAAGAGCAGAGCCCTTATTACCAAGTGCTAGTGAACCAGTGCCACAACATCCTGAGAGGATCATACTGCCAAATTATTCAAGAACACCTAATATACATTCACGGTGCATATTTACACAATATACATGTGATATACAAATAAATACAATAAACAATATGATACAATTATGTGAAAAATAGTCAATAAATAAGAAGCAAAACTACAATTTTTATTTTATTCATGATTCCTACCGAACCAAGTTTTTCCTAATAGTTATTCTTTAAAATCGCACCGAATAAAATGAATTAGTTGTAATATTAATTCACTTCATACTGAGTTCATACTAAGTTCATAGGTTGACCTATGTTTTATTGAATATTAAACATAACCTCAAAAAAATTTTAGTTTTCCTAATAATTTAAGTTCTCAGAAGTGTCCGTCAATAATCTTTGTTTTTACAGTCATTTACTTACGATTTTGAACCTAGAAAATAATATTTCATGATTGTTGGTTCTTAGGCTAACTATGTATGGACGCTGAACAATGTCCTTTACGCTTTGCGCAATTTTTTCTTGATCTGTGCTATTTTCTTCGTACCAAATTTCCAGATTCTGAGTTCACGGGAGGTACCCTGTACCCGTTGTTGTGGTTTTAATTCTCTTGCGAGTTTCGAAAATTTGCGGCATAAACGGCTGTATCTTTTGATTGCGTTAGCTTAGAAGTTTGATTTTTCCACATTACAGATAAAAGGCTGGAGGAACAGTATAATTTCAACTCGAATTTGAGCGTCGATCTGAGAAAAATATTTTTATTTTCGGAAAGCTCTACAGGGTTAGAACAAGGACGTATAAAAAAAGGCGGACAGAATTTCGGCTAAGACAAAAGTGAGGCACCGTAATGGCGGCGGTTATCTATGAGTGAGTGAATGCAGGGTTGCTAGGTTAGCCAATTTTTTACCAATAAAACACAGTAAAAAGATCAAAATATTTTAATTGTTCAAAATTTTACCCGACTGCGGTGGATAATGTTTTTCGAGCGTGTATGCATGTATGTATGCCCAATAATAAGGCGCCAAAATGAAACCTTTAGAAAAAAAATGCTTATAACCCGTCAAGCGAGGTATCAAAGTAAAGGGTCTTAAAAGAATGCAGTGGATCCCCGGTAGTCCGACAAACATTTTGCAGGGCAGTGTCGAACTATCGAATTTGTCGGATTATAGAGTACTGCCTAAGACCCCCTATAGTCCGAATTTTTTTACAAAAGAGTACCTTGTAATCCGACAAATTACAGATCCAATGATAAGATTACAAAACATACTTTGTTATGTATGTCAAATTTAGTAAATTAAACAACACAATAGAAAGATTATGTTTTATTATAAAAGTAACGTCAAATGCTATAGAATTTACAAAAAAATATAAAAAACAATACCCTACGCGTCGAGCACAATTGTGATGGTGCGTACAAGTTGTAACTTGTTCAATCGTGAATTAGCGAATACTTGTATGTAATAGACGATGTCGGATTATAGGGGGTGCCGCATTAGCCAGGGGCCGGATTACCGGGGCTCCACTGTATTTAGAAAATAGGTATGCAAATCGTGTACTTAAAAAAAAATCGTGTTGCACTCGGGGACTGCCGCGGTAAAGCTATTGCATAGCATTATTTGTCAACTTATGCAATAATACTATTTATTTATGCAGTATTTTTTTTCTTTGATATTAATTCAAGTTTTTTCTCTGATATTAATAGATGGCGAGGCAGGCCTTATGATATTTTATTGGGCAAGCACAGCAAACAACAGCATTGCCCGGCGCCAAAAAACTTCCACATGCTCCACAGTTTACCACCTTTAGTCCAAAAATTATAATTATAAAGTCTAAATAAAAGGGAGACAAATAAAAATAAGAACAGGTGCTGGGGTCTAAAACAAATATATAAAAAATGGAAAAAAAATATAATAAAAAATAAAACACGAGTGCGGGATTTGAACCGACGACCGCGGTGATGCGTCGAACGTTGGTCCCGTGGCAAAAATTTAACACACTGCACCGTTTCGATCGATACTGGAAAGGCGAAAATTGTGTTCATACGCACTGTTTTTAAGTTGGCATTGATCGAAATGTTTTGTTTAAATATTATCGTTAGTAATATTATTTATCGTTGAAAATATTTTAAAACTTTTGTTTCATTGTAGGTTTTTTTAAATAATCAAAGTTAATTCAAACTATTATATATAACAAATATTGACTTTTTTTATATTCCACTTTTTTTTCAACACTGAACTTAGCGCACTTTGCTGGTGCATTTGAAAACTAATTCACGTTCCAATTAATCATCAGCATAATTCGGCATTGGTAGCCACTGAGTCGCATTATGCTCTGTAATTGGAAAACTAACATGAAGTCTGTTTTTATTTTTGTATGAAAAAGTTTATATTTTCCACTTTTCATAAGCCAGAGTAAATCACCTAAATATGCCTGGCCAGGCCTGCATTCTTTTTTATATTTCTTAAATTAACAAAACATGCATTGAGTACTGTTTGTAATTGAGGAGTTCCATTGTTTCCCTCCGAAAATACTCATCAGCTCTGCACTTAATTAATACAGCCATCTCGCTAATAAACTGATTCAAACAAAAAAATAATCATCAAAATCGGTCCACGAATCTCGGAGATATGCACGAACAACAATTGAAAAAAAAAATAACAAATATGACGTATAGAACCTCTTTCTTTTTGAAGTCGGTTAAAATTTTTAATTTACCTTTTGAGGTACTGCATGCGTAACAACACGCCGGAGTCCTCTTTTAGTAGTATATAAGTCTCCAGCTTCAAAATGGATACTGCAAATGACACTATATTTATTTGGAATACATTCATCATCTCCGTTACAATTCCTAATAACTTGGATCCAGTCATTTCTCCATTCTACATTTTCTTTAGGGAATCTGATAAAAAAGAATAACAAATAATAGATTGAAGCTAATGTCACCCCAATTTCCCATATTTTAGGTAATATGGTTACGTGAACATTGACAACACTGGACTTTAGATTAATTATTTTGTGCTTAGAATGAAAATTGATTTCGATTTCTAAAAACTAGAAAAAAGTGATTATATTGTTCATTTACCTATGAAACGTGATTCCTGGATTTTTTTTCTTTCGGTCACTACGGTTTTTACACCATTTTACCACGCAAGACATCTTGTTTTAACTTATTTTTATCTCCACTTAACGTATCGGCTGCTTTGACGTTTGCACGCGTAATGGCTGACTATGGTGTGAATGTGTGTGTGCCGGCTTGTACATATAGCGACCTGGCCGACTCTGAGCGACACAGTTTGTTGTTTGCCGGGACTCTGTCCGCCTTTTTTTATACGTCCATGGGTTAGAATTGATTCATAGTCAGACGATGTGCGCCTTGTATCGCAAGCATCTATACCATAGATGATGATAGATTCTAAAGACTATAGCGCTATGGCAGCTTCTACATTCAACAACTTCAACTTTTTACATGAGATTTTCAATTTTCAGAAGGTCGGGTATGCACCAGTGATGCGTCTTGTATCGCAAACATTTACTGGCTGCAGTAACCGCTTATTGTTGAAGTTATGATTTTATGTAAAACCTTCTTGTTAGCGCGACTCGATGGCCTGTTCTCTATGTCACCGTTACTTCATTCTAGGACTTTTGCTAAATACGTCAACGGTCTATTGGGATCTGACATGGAGGCGTGGCCTATTCAATATGGCGCCGACGGGGGTGCATTTGCCTAGTCAAACCGTGATGAAATACCGTAAAATAGTTAAATATCAATATTAGTGGTAGATAATGATAGTCTTAACAATTAATGATATTTGTGAATGGTCCGGTTCAACGCCCAGTAATCGCAATTTTCGAGAGGGTGAACGACTGGTAGCTGCGAAACATTTATTGAATTGTGGTATACACAAACATTTATTGAATTGTGGTAACTAAACCAAGGAAACTCTTTCATTTTAATGTTGTTGCCGTCCCATTCTTTTCTTAGTGGAATAATAATGAGATCTTGTAAAATGCTACTTCACACATGCTTAACCTCAAAAAACGAATTTGACTCACCTGGTAATATATAGTCGTCTTTCAGAAAATGCAATGAACACACTTTCATGTGAGGATTTATTTTACAGTCAATCTTCAAAGCGTTCTTCCATGCTGTGAATTGGTCCACTT